TTGAGTCTATAATGAGCCATGTTTGGCAAGAAATGCGGCAGTATCTTACATTCTGCCATGATGTTATAGTGTGGAGCCATCTCGTGCAGAGATCTGCGACAGTTTGATATTGAGTGAGCTGTGGATGTTAATCCATTTTCTTTGATAGTTGGTGGTATTTACATGAATCTGTGCTTCCCTCCCTTATTTTTCATGTTCGATATATTTTCACGCATACCTTCTTAAAACTTTCATAATAACCCAATATGTTCTAGAAAAAAAAAAATTTAAGCCCTTTGCATGCAAGAGAACCCGTGCCGTCTTGCAATTTAAGCTTGTCCGTACAGGTTGGCGCGGTTACAGTGCTGCGACTATGGAATACGCTTCATTCGTTATTTCATTCGTAAGTTTTGGGGTTATTGGTGCACTATTGTTTGTTGAGTAAAAATGTCAGTGACATTACGAAGTGATAAAGAAAATATTTTTCTTATCAGGCTGCCTAGTCATCAAATCACTTGTGCAAAGTTACCATCAAATCGCCAGGTTCTCTCCGTCAAGCTAAGTCAAGCTTACTCTCAGTGAAAGTGCAAATCTTGTGACTAGGGAGTGTTTGATTTTTCAAGAATTCTCACAAGGGCATTGCCTAACTGCGTGAAAAAACTTATTGATTTATACTATGCTTGGAGAGAGCTGCAAAAAAAATTGTAAAAAAAACTCTAGCCGCTTTCAAGGATCGAGAAAGGAACTTTAAAATAAGCCTAGATAACTTATTTGATTTTGCACATGCTGATGACTTGAAAATAATAAAAAAAGAGTGAGACAAACTATTTTTGAATAAACAAAGAGAACCAGGTCGACCAGGATATTTAGCTGGTGTAGACAAAAAATTGACGGGGAAAGAAGAAGAAATAGGTGTTGACGATTGAAAGAAGGGGAAAGACATGTAAAGCAAAGAGAGCTATTGGCTGTTGCTTCTACTTCTATACCAAGCAACTTACACTATTCGGAAGAATCGGACGAAGAACTTAAAAATCCTGAACTGGTTTTGCTAGACGTTGCTTGCTCTGAAAAAAGTATTATAAGAGGTAGAAAGAATCTCATTACACCTAAACTTGCCGCAGCTTTAGATCAATGCCAGTATAAGAGACTCCGTATAAATTCTTCAGGCGGTAGTGGAAGCGCTTGATATGAGCAGCGAGGATTTTCCTATCAACAAATCATCGATTCAGCGAATTCGTACTGAGACTCGAAAATCAAGGGCAGAAGCAATTAAAACTGAATTTCGAAACAATCTACCTGACATGGTCACAATCCATTGGGATGAAAACCTATTACCCGGATTGGATGTTCGAAGTTCAAAAGAAGAACGCTTGCCAATCATTGCTTCATTTGATGGTAGAGAACAGCTTCTTGTAGTACCAAAACTTGAGAGTTCTTCTGGAACTTGTTTGACTGGAACCTGGACAATAAGGTACAAAAAATGTTCTGCGACACAACTGAATCGAATACTGGTCGTTTCAATGGAGCTTGTGCTAATTTGGAACAGACCTTAGAATGAGAAATTTTGATTTTCGCTGGTCGTCATCATGTTCCTGAAAGCTGCTTTTGAAACCAAAATCAAGCAAATAACTCAATATGTCACTCTTTAAAAAGTTACGAGATAATTTTATAAATATTTATAACTTATGATTTCATAAATGCACATGTTTCCGAAACAAAAATTTCGTCTTTGTTTATATTTTATAAGTCACAACTAAGCACAGGTTTTATAAGAGACGATAGCCGCGAGTTGGTTGAATTATGCGTAGTATTTTTTGGAGGAGACACGCAAAATAAATTAAAGCTCAAACCCCCAGGAGCTATGCATCAGGCTCGGTGAATGGCGAGAGCGATATATTCATTAGAAATAACTAAAATGGATAAAAATGCACTACAGGACGTGTGCATATTTATTGTCACCTTATACTTTTTATACGTTAAATCTTGGGTTGAATGCACATTGGCAAAATAAGCACCAATTGAAGGTTTATGCTTCTAGAAGGCGTTAAAAGAGTATGAAAAAGTTGACGCAACCATCTCTAAAGCTTTTTTACACAAATTTAGCTAGCACTTGTGGTATTAATGTGAAGAGACAGTCATTCTATCACTTTTTGATGACGAAGTCCATAATCAAAATTATTGCCAGCTTAAACAGGGCCAAAAGTTCAAATTTTGGAAAACGCTATTTTCCATCAAGAGAAAATTTATCGCAAGAGTTGTTTGGTAAGATATTTTTGTAGCCATAATGATTATATATTTCTTGTTATTTAACTTGTTTTTTATTTCAGATAAAACGCTCGATGTTTTTGTTTCAGAGAAAATCTGACAATTTCTATCTCGACTGCAGATCGACGACAGCTTTCTTCAAGAAGATGTTTCTTTTTGGAATAAAAATGCTGCTTTTCTTGAAGCTAAAAAAAAGAATTAGTCATTTAAAGGTGGTAAATAACACTGCTGAAAGGGCTGTTAAATTAGTACAGGATTTTAAAGGGCTTATCACGGTCAAAGAAGAACAAAAACAGTTTTTGCTGCGCCGTGTTCAAGAACACAAATAAATGCTGTCTTTATAATAATGACACCCTAATATATATATACTTCCGCTTGGAAGACGATGCAGTGATCAGAAGTCTGAATAATTTCCAACGCCAAAGTGTTGATCTAGTTTTGAGCCGTCAGTGTAGATGCTAACTGCTTCTGTAGGCCCCGGCTGACCGTGGTCTCTTTTTGGGAGCAAGATTTCAAAGGGGGTTGCCAAATTCTATTGGTTTTCATAGGTCCGTTTTGTTTGGGATTGATTTGGCTTGCTCGAGAGTTTTGGCATGACCATGTGTATTTGATTGGAGTTGAATTTCCATTGTCGAGTGTCTCTCAATCGAACCGGCGCTATTTTGGGCCGTTCCATTATTATTATTATTATTATTATTATTATTATTATTATTATTATTATTATTATTATTATTATTATTATTATTATTATTATAATTATTGTTATTATTATTATTATTATTATTATTATTATTATTATTATTATTATTATTATTATTATTATTATTATTATTATTATTATTATTATTATTATTATTATTATTATTATTATTATTATTATTATTATTATTATTATTATTATTATTATTATTATTATTATTATTATTATTATTATTATTATTATTATTATTATTATTATTATTATTATTATTATTATTATTATTATTATTAATGAAATACTAGAAGGACAGAAAGAAGCATTCCAGAACAGCAGGAATGTCACAAGGTCGCCAGATCAGTCACACGCTGTTTTAGGTGCTTTGGGGAAGGCCATCTCCAAAGGGATTGCACTGGACCACACAGGAGGGACCTGTGCCGGCCACAAAATGAAAAACTGCACAGCAGGAATGTCACAAGGTCGCCAGATCAGTCACACGCTGTTTTAGGTGCTTTGGGGAAGGCCATCTCCAAAGGGATTGCACTGGACCACACAGGAGGGACCTGTGCCGGCCACAAAATGAAAAACTGCACAAGTATGCCGAAATGCTGCTTGTGTGCATACGAACGTCTCACGGATCTGAATCATTTCCCTGAGACGAGTAACTGCGCAGTCAGTGCCCGCAAGAAAATTGCCGAACTGCGGACGATCTACTGTCCCAAATAGTACTTCAACATAATGTGGATCTGGTAATAAATAATCAGTGAACAGTATAGAGCAAAATAAGACGGCATCTGGCTAGAAAATGAAGATAAAACTGCAGCCATTTGGATTTCAGCATCAAGCAACATAAACCGCCCGGGCGATGGAAAAGGTAGCTGCTATGTATACGCACAGCTGAAGGAGTTCAGCATTGTTAGCTGCTACCTGACTCCCAATAATAGCATATAAGTTTTTAGGAACAAAATCGACGATATTGAAAATATAGTTCGGCAGCTAAAGGGAAAACTCGTAGTAGCTGGGGACTTTAATTCAAAGGCACAGGAATGGGGAATATCTTCGACCAACAGCAGAGGCCACACAACAGTAGTGGCAAATGTAGGTACAACACCGTCATTTCAGTGGATAGGTCACGAAATAAAACGCTGGTGTTGAGAACAACAACCTAAATGCCACCCTTAAGTTTAGAAATAGAAATTAAACGAACTATAGGTTCAATTGAGATTATTTCTTGATTTTATTAGCTGTGCTTGGAGTTGAGAGCGATTTTGTATTACTGATTTGCCGAAAGCTCGACTTCAAATTTTTGTACATGTTTTCGCTGTAGCTCAGTTGAACAGATAACGCAACAAATGTAGCGAGATAAGAAAGGCGAAGAACAAAGCTGCATAACATACCTGCGTGTGCAGCGTACACCTATGAGCATTTGACTAGGTGCTGGCGGTCTGCTCTAAACATACTCCCCCCGTTGGAAGAGGCGCGGTTCCAACTAAATGGGACTCGATGGCTAGTTAAGTGACGGCCCTTTTGGTAAGACCTGTAGCTGTCCAGACCACAGCTACTCTGACGACGCCGTCCTTTCCGGGTATGACTTCATAGATGCACCCAAGCTGCCATTTCATCGGTGGAAGGTTGTCCTCCTGAAGCAATACAACACGACCGATTTGGATGTTGGATGTTTTGGTCCGCCATTTGCTTCGTTTTTGCAACAGGGACAAATACTCTCTGCTCCATCTTTTCCAGAAGTGCTGCTGCATTTGTGTTATTCTTTGCCAACTGCTTAACCGGCCTTTGCGAGGAAGAGTAACGTCAGGCTTAGGAAACCTTGCGTAACTGGAACCTTTGAGGAAATGAGCTGGCGTTAGCACCTCAAAATTTTCAGCGTTTTCTGAAATTGGACAAAGCGGACAGGAGTTAAGAATGGCGGAAATTTCATATGCAAGATTTCTCAATTCATCAAGGGCTAAGATGGCTGCACCGACAACTCGGTTGAAGTGAAATTTTGCCGATTTTACAGCCGAAATGTGAGGCACGCGGGGCTATGAACTGCCAATCAATTTCATTCGCTAAGCAGTTCGCTCAAAAATAACTCCTTCAGTTCCGCTAGCTCTCGTTTAGCGCCAACAAAGTTTGTCGCATTATCACTCCAAATAGTACGTGGACTGCCTCTGAGGCTAATGAATCTTCTCAAAGCTGCAATGAAAGAATCCGTTGTGAGATCCTGGACGACTTCCAAGTGCGCGGCCTTCGTCGAAAAGCAGACGAAGACGGCGATGTAGCACTTGTGGGGCGCTTTGTTCCAGACCTCTGACTTGTGATAGAATGGTCCACAATAGTCCACTCCTGCGGTGTGAAAAGCTGGGTGAGGCTGAACTCGCTCTGCTGGCAGGCTACCCATCACGTGTTCCCAAGCCACAGGCTTCATCCGAAAGCATCTGACGCATTTGTTGATGACGCTAGCCACGAACTTTCGGCCTCCAAGTGGCCTTTGCCGTAAAGCAGCGAGTAACGCCTGTGGCCCTGTGTGGAAGTATTTCTCATGATAATAGACGATAATCGCCCTGGTGACCGGATGATCCTTGGGTAACAATATCGGATGCTTAGACTCGTAGTCCAAGCTTGCATATTGAAGCCTTCCATCAACACGAAGTAAACCCTCAGAGCTAAGTATTGGCCTCAGAGAAATCAACTTGCTCTTCGGAGGACAAGGCTTGCCTTGGCTAAGAACCTCATACTCCACCGCTATTTGAACCTGTTGAATGCTCCTTAGAAGCAGAACGGTTCCAAAGCTGATCTCGTCAACGGTAAGATAGATGGTTGAAGGTAATGATTTGGCTCTGCAATTTGAAATGAATCGATAAATGTACGCGAAAGCACGCTGCAACCTGTCGAATGAGTTGAGAAACTTGCAGTTGATAGATATGTCAGTGCCAACGGTTCCAATTTGCGCCGTGGAACGCCGTTCCGGAAGGTTTTTTACTGCATCTGATAGGGAGGGGCAGTTCGACGCTCCTTTCAGTAGAAATGGAGGTCCACTTGCCCAAAGGGAGTGCTCCAGCAATTCTTTGGGGGTACATCCGCGCGATACCACATCCGCCGGATTCAAGTCTGTTGGAACATGATGCCAAGCCATACCTTTCGTCATTTCCTGAATTTTCGCGATTCTATAAGACACAAATATGTTGAACTCCCTCGGAGGTTGCCGAATCCAATCCAACACAATAGACGAGTCCGGCCAGCAGTGAAAGCTGCAATCAAAACCTATGGTTTCCTTAACGTTTACGATAAGCTCAGCTAATAAACACGCTGCTGAAAGTTCTAATCTTGGTATCGTTAAAGCTTTTAAGGGAACTACTCTAGACTAGGGGCAGAGTAGATGTGCTTCAGCGTTGCCATGGGCCTCCGACCGCAAATACAAGCACGCGCCGTAAGCTGCTGTGCTAGCATCACAGAATCCGTGCATCTCGACGGAAGCCTGCGATTGCATTACGAATCGTGGAAATTTTAGGTTCTGGACGATCGGCAACTGAGAGGTCAACTCCCCCCATGACGAAAGAAGGGGCTCTGGCAGTGTGTCGTCCCAATCCATGTTAGTGCTCCATAGCTTTTTGGATTATGTAACAATGGGTGCTATTATACCAAGCGAATCATAAAATTTCGCAATTGTTGACAACACAATCCGTTTTGTTGCTCGTTGACTTGATAAAATTTGTAAAAAGCTCCAAAGCTTTGGCGATAGCTGTTCCGTCGTGGAATTTAATCAATTGCTCTTTATTTTCGGATCGGAAAGTGGCCCCGCGCCAGTAGCTCCTTTACCTGATGACGAATTTCTTTCACCTCTTCAATTGAATCGCCACCAGAAATTAGATCGTCCACATAGAAATCCCAACGAACGATTTTTGCTCCAACTATAAATGATACCTCCTCATCATAAGACAGCTGATGCATGGCTCTTATATCCAAGAAGGCAGCCGACTTGGTTTCATAAGTTACCGTGTTTAGTTTATAAACACTCAATTTATCTGTGGAGTTCTCTCGCCACATAATACATTGCAAAAAGTCATCAGGGTCGAAACACGAACGCAGTGGTACATCTTGCAAATGTCTCTTCAAAGAGCTACTTTAAAAAATCTAAACCGAAGCAAAATATTAAAGATTTTTTGCTGAATTGTTAGTCCTGCTAAAAGCATGTCGTTTAGAGCTTTCCCAGATGTAGTTTTTGCAGAACCACGACACGAAGTTTAGTGGTAGTGCTTTCAAGCTTCTGAACAGAATGGTGAGGCAAGAAAAATTGTGGCACCCTTAATGCGAGAGACATGTGTCCTAAGTTGAGGTATTCCTGTAAAAATGCCGAATACTGCACTTGCAGATTGGGGTTTTTATTTAGTTTTGATTCCAAGCAGAAGGAGTCGCCTAAAGATTCGAATCCTAAAGTGGATAAAAGGCGAACCGAATATTGACCATTCTTCAGCCTAATGCAATTTTCTTTAAAATGCTGCTCGCATCGTAAGTCCTCGGCCAGCATCGATGGTTTTTCTGAACTATTGTCTTCAATCTCCCAAAACCGCTTTACTACGGCAGCAAGTGTGTCATCATCTGAATGATCAGCAGGATCCTTGACAATGACAGCCAAGACAGATTTGCGATTTAGCATACTTGACATCCCTCCAGAAACTATCCAACCAAGCTTGGTATTTTGAAGCGTGGGCAAGGTGCTATCCAAATTAATTTTCCCTGTAGCTATTATTTCGAAGAGCAAACCAGCGCCAATTAAAAGATCAATTCGTTGTGACTGGTTCAAATGAGGGTCAGCTAGCGAAATGTTTTGTGGCATCCTCCATCCTGTAGTATTTATATTGAAATTTGGCTGATAATCAGTGATACTATGGGTTACAACAGCTGCAAATGACGCACGATAGCTTGCATCCCGTGATTGCGCCAGAATATCGACTGCCTTATCAGAGTTCATGGAAGATTCCCCTTTCCCAGAAATTAGTGTGTGCGATTGTCTAAGTTTCAAATTAAGTTGGCTAGTTAGGCACGTAGTAATAAAGTTTAACTAAGAAGCTGAATCTAATATTGCTCGGCAAGGCATAAATCCACCAACTCTATTTTTTACGTAGATTATAGCAGTTGGAAGCAGTACGTAATTCATTGGCATTGTATTTAAGGTTTGTGGTGGCGAGTGCGTTAAATGGTGATTAGGTTGTGATAATGGAGATGAGCATGACACTAGTGATGATGAAGTCGATGGTAATGGCTGAGAGCCTATAGATGGCTCGGATGATGGAGTTGAAACTAAGGTCGATGACTCTGGGATAATGTGCAGTAATGAATGGTGCTTCATGCGACAATGTTTACAATGAGTTGACTTACATTGCTGCAAGCTATGGCCTTTGCGTAAACAGTTGAGGCAAAGGTGCATTTTCTTAGCTTCCCTATATCGAAGATTGTGACTCAAGCTTAAAAGTCGGAAGCATTTTGGCAAATAATGATCTCTTGCATCGCAAAATAGGCAAATTGGATGCTTTGAGTTAGTAGCAGACTTAATCAGTACACTTGGGTTGTATCTTGCTTCTTTCCACCTGATGGTGTGGTGTTTGAATTACCAAAGCTTGGTCCAAGTTTTCCATCATCCGGCACCTCTTCTCCAAAAACGACTTCATAGCATCCCAGGTAGATAGCTCAGAGATTGACAAATCATCTTCCCATTTTCACGGGTCCTTTGATCCAGCTTGTGTGTCACGATATAAATGAGAAATCCATCCAGAATTTGTTGTGGCCAGGGTACGGATTGCTCGAAGATGCGAATTCATCCAATCGCTGAGCTCCCGAAGACCCTTAGCTGATCCCTTCTCGACACCTTTTAAACCAAACATTGCCTGAACGTGTGCCTGAAAGTGTAAAACTTTATTATCAAATCGATTAATAAGTAAATTTAAAGCCTTTTTATAATTTTCATTAGAGGGCTCGAGCGATCGTATGGTTTCTAAAGCCACGCCGCCTAAAGAGAACATCAAATATTGTAATTTTTCAATATCACTTAGCTCGTCATCATTTCCAATGACCGTGGTAAAAGTTGCAAGAAAGTCCGGCCATTCTGAGTGCGATCATTGAAAACGAGCAATTTCTAGATTTGGCAATCGAGACTTCCTAAATCTGAAAGAAAGATCCGCATTGTTTATAATTTAAAGGATGTAGAATTGGCCGCTGTGGAACCCGGCAAATGCAGTTTGCGCAGAGCGGTTAGGTCCCGATTTAGTTTCGCCTTTAAGTCCATTAAGACTGCGGAAAATTCAAACCGCGTATCTTTACTAATCTCCGAAAAGTCCAGTTTTTCCAGCGAAGTATGTGCAGAATCGAATTCCAAGTTCATGGGGTTCACCCATTCCAGCTGCACGAGGACTTCAGATTCATCAAACTGCTCACTAGCTACAGCAGTTAAATAATCTTTCATTGCGTTTAACTGCCGCAAAACGGAACGCACTTTGGGTCGGTAAAACACGATGTCACTGGGAGCATCATTTTGAGGCTGAATCGCAGCCCAAGACAGTTTTGCTTCTTTCACAGCGCGAAAATGCTCAAAAAAAAAAAAACAAACGGCCAGCAGCGCGCACATAAAGTGTTCGTGTGTTTTGACTGAGATGCAGCAAACGACAGCGAAAACAAGTTATTGTTTAAACGATATTAAACAATGTGGAAAACAGACATGCAGACTGCGATTAAATGAATATCACGCCTGGGTCTCCAAAATGTTTATGGGGAAAACAACCAAAATGCCACCCTTTAGTTTAGAAATATAAATTAAACGCACGATAGGTTCAATGGAAATTATTTCTTGATTTTATTAGCTGTGCTCTGAGATGCAGCGATTTTGTATAACTGACTTGCCGAAAGCTCAACTTCAAATATTTGTACATGTTTTTTCCGAAGCTCAGCTGAATAGATATCGCGACAAATGTAGCGAATGGAAGCTGAAGAACAATAAACATGCAAGTATACTGGTGGACGGAAGAGATAAATGTCTTGAGAGAAACGAGTCTTCGCTACAGGCGTCATCTCACACGAGCAAGAAGTAGAGGCAACTTTGCGATACAGAGGAGGAGTACAAAATATCAGAGAAGACACTTTTTAACGACGGAGGAACCCTTCGAGTTATTTAGCAAGGAGGAACTCAATAGGGCAATAGGTAGCATGAAAACTAGGAAAGCACCAGGACCCGACAATATCCCGACTGAAGCTCTTAAGGTCATAGCAGAAAGTAGACCAGACATACTTTTAAGCACATGGCAGCACTGGTCTTAGGAGGAGTAGTTCCGATTGACCTGTTGGCCAAAGAACGAAAAAAAGTGTACGACCTCAGACAAGTGGGAGGAGCGACAAGAGAAGTTATCTTAGACTGCAAAAGGGAGACTCTCGACTATTGGCAAGGAAGATGGGAACGCGAGGGCTGCGCAGGAATGACCGCAAGACTCATACCCGACTTTAAGGACTGGGTTCAGAGGCGGCACGGGGAGGTAGACTAAGACGTGACCCAAAAGCTCTCGGGTCATGGCTACTTCAGCTCATTTCTACTTGAGCTGGGAAAAAGCACAGAAGCCAGCTGCGTGTACGCAGACGCTGAATGCGAAAGCGCAGAACACACACACAAAAACGAAGCAATCTGACGGAAGCAATCGGACTGATTACGCCGGAAAATATTCGAAGGTGACAAGGTGGTTTTAGTGGGTGCGAGCCCCACATACCACATCTACGACGGTAGTGTGAGATGCGGAAGGCATTTCCCTCTGTCAGCCCAGCTACACAAGTGTCTTTTCGGGATCGGCAGACAATATTGAAGGTTCCCCGCTGATGACCTTGGCATTTAAACACCTTAGTACCCAGATTGAAGCCCTGGTGAAATGGCTGCTGGGGTATTGCTGAAGTTACCTCCGTCTTACTAAAACTTGGTGAGTCTTTAAATACGTTTGAATCACATCATCGCTGAACCGATGATACAGGCACAGTTGAAAGAAATCCTGCTTAACATCCGTTCTGGCTCTGAACGCAGGTACCCATAAGGACCTGCGTCAACCCTCGCATGAAAACCACTGCTTGCATAGGGACTCATAGGTAAGACCGTACATATGTGAGGAGATAGCAACT